ATAAATATATATATAAAAAGAGAAATCACTTTTATTTGTGGATATTACAGGGAAGAATTGATTTGGTTAATAAAGTCCGTAGTCATGTTTGCACATATCTTGTTTTAATTAGGAAATGGGGTCTCTGTTGATCTTTCTCTGTGTCCCGTTCTCTCATGGTGCAATATGAAAAAAAGCTATGAAAAGTATATGAAAAGTATTGCTCTATACTGTACTGTAATGATGAAAAATAACTTTGTTGTGAGTATGCTTACAGGGCTGGACACAGTCCAGCTATGTATTCAGGTGTAGTTTACCACTGCTTGTTTGCTAGTGTGGTAAATAATGTTAGCTAGAACAGGGAGGATTTAGAGAACTAATGGTTTGCACTTCACAACACCCCGACTCGAGTGTGTCCAGACAGATCCCTCTACTCAGTGCACTAGGTAGAGTCTTCAGGGTTCTCACTCTCCTCACTAGATTTACTGTTGCTGCATTGCAGTGATGATTCTCTACAGGGAAAAAAATAATAATAATAATAATAAAATAAATAAAAAAACGTGAGACAATCCAGCAGAATCCCCCTTCAAATCAAACCTATATTGTCTATGGGAAATATCTATAAAAAAAATTGTTAATATACGTAAGAAGCTGTTTTTGTTCCCGTCTACCCTGATCCATTTCTGTTCTTCCTGTTTCTTTGTGTTAGCTTGAAGGGAGAAGAGTTTGATCCAAAATGCTGTGAGGTCATTATGTCAGTTTCTTTGATTAGTTTCTACAATTAACTGTCTTCATTATGATCATACATTTTAACAAGAAAAAATGTCACGTTTTATTTTTACATGGTGACACCGGAATAAAGAGAAACTAACACAAATTTCAAATTTGATTAATAAAATGGCTGTACCCCAATGTGTCCTCCACGGGTTTGACATGAATGACTGATGGTGGTGCCGAGATTAAACAGGAGAGCCATTCTAGGCTCTGCTCTCCAGCTGTTTGGGTCATGAATCTCAATCGAAGACTTCTAATACTTGCCTTATTTTCACCACGACAGCAGTGACGCTTCCTAAAGGTCCTCAGCAGTGTCTAAGAAGCGATGGTCAGTCACTCTGATATTCATATTCTGTGATTCTGTAGCTGTCACGTCTGCAGGTGGCAGTGTTGTAAAGAGTTTTGTTGTTCCCTTATCCACCCTCTTCCAATAACGTTCATCCCTAATCTGTGAAGCCAAAACCAGCCTGCTGTGTGAAGACTTAGACTGTTGTTGGAGTGCAAGTTGAAATCTGCCTCTTGTAATGTACAGAGCAGCTGAACATCTTTACAGCTTTCAAATCCAAATACATTATCAACCTTAAACATACAGTATAAGCCCATAATGGCGATGCATCTTGTTTAATTAGGCTCCAAAGTAGTAACCTGAAGAAGCAGACTAGGAAAATGAATGAGCAAGTTAATTTAGAAAACATATCATCTGTCATCTGTATTATACAAGTGTAAACGCTACTGAGGTCAGAAGACCAGAGAGAGCTTGAACATCAGCACTTAAGAATCAAGTCAGAAACAGCAAAGCCCCAATGAAACTATGGACATGTTATATTTTATAGGGTGTAGCAGTAATCTAAAGCTGTGTGTGTGTGTGTGTGTGTGTGTGTGTGTCCATCCTCCACACAAGCTCAAAGCAGTTTGGTGTCTGTCATGTATTTACTCTGGAGCACTGACAAAATGAAGTACACTCAAAACCTGATTTATGAGTGTAGGCTACTGTGGATGGATATGTGGTTCATAGAAAATAGAGGAGGTTTTTTTTGGCACAAAGAGAAAAAAAAATAGAAGTAATTGTGGAGGATGTCAAATCTGTTCCGTGAACACCTCAAGAAACAAATAACTATTAAAATTTCATCAGTTTTGCATTAAATTAAATGGCAGTTGTTAGTTGTTTTCACATCTATAATAATACTGCATCTGCCAGTAGGCCACAAGATACTATAATCAGGTGATCTCCAGCAACTATAGTAATGACAGGAGCCAAATAATCACATAAGTCCATGGAAGAGGTCAGCGTGTATAAGTGGATGGATGGGTGACAAAATATTAGACTAGTGTTTCCTGTTTCAAACTGATGGCATCAGTGTCATTGCCTTTGTAAGTTGTTATATCTAATGCAAACCATAATTCTTCTCTAAACCTAACAGTATTTTTTGTGCGCACAACTGAGACACTTTAAATGTAAAATTGTAACTGTGATGTTGAAGTCCTACTGGCCTACTGAGCTGCTGATAACAGTTTACTGAGCTCAGTAGGAGCAGGGCCCTACTAACCAACATCTATAGTCCTGTTGACAAACTGATAATGACCATTTAAGTGGGTGGTAACATTTGAAATTGTATAAATTTTGAGGAAAAAACTTTTTGTTAAGTTGAAGTGGTAACAGCATTGTAAAATGTGAGTTCGCCTGAGGGTTGAGTAAAAGTGGATACACCACACAAGTGTTTTATAGCCATGAATTGTGCTGAACACTATAGGTTGAATAAATGAAATTAAATGACACAAACATCTTATAAAAATGTATTCTAAATCTTAGGTAATGTCATTATTCAGTAATGGCCTTCCGTTCTAAACTGGTTTATTAAGTGAAGCTTTTTCACCCTGCCGTTCTGAAGCTTCTACCCGAGCCTCACATGCCGTGCCTGCTAAAATTGCTTCCATGGTTTGAGATCAGAAAACAGGAATTTAGCAGGAGGGTGTATTACTCAGCAAGACAACCGCATCTGACATCCACCTCTGAAGTTCACAGCTAATTAAGCATGATACAAGAGATTTACACGCCACCGCATAACTGATGTCATAAAGGACAATCGGACTGGGACTTTCTCTGTGATCAGCTTGTTAAATATGATGATGGGTGTCAAGTGCAGAAGTGGAACAATGAGCAGTGTGATAGTTGGTGTCTCAAGTTAATTTACTTAGGTATTGATAAGAGGACTTTAGTGATATAATTTACTGAAAAACTTCCATTCAATACAAATCAAACTCAATGTGTTTATAAATGCACACATATACAAACCATTAGGTTTCTTGATTGCCTACCAGTTTTAAGGGCCCCTTTAATCAAAATGGTCAGCAGGATTTACAGTTTTCTTATTTCAAAAGTTTCTTTGACCAAAGGAGGAGAGCACTGGTTAAATATATCCAGGCTTCATTCAGACCTGTGCTGCTTTCAAATTTTAGTCTTGGAAGTGTCCTGTACTGTTACACTTTTTTAACAAATTGTCCCAATGAAATCGCTTGTAACAGGTGAACTCCTCCAGAAGGAAAACATTTTCTGTGAGAACGAAAGGAGTTTGAGTGTTTGCTTGGTGTGCCATGTTCTTTGTCTTAGTTTTCCCCAGACATGACAGTTTCTGGCTAAACCGTTTCACAGTCACAGTTTAATTGAGGTATGAGATGCAGTATGTGTAAAGATGTGTTACTGTGCCTCCTGCATTCATTTTTATGTGCTGATGCAGAAAAATTCTCAAATCAATTAAAATCAGTTAAAGTGCAATCCAGATGGATTTCAAAGGGCATGAGAATGCTCAGTACAGTTTATAAAGATCTAGAGTAACTGTACTGATGACAGTATATAGTGATTTAATGCATGCCAGTGACTGTGGTCATTGCTCACAAAAGTTAAAATATTACTTAAATAATCTAAAATACATATTCAGCCTATTATTTGACCCATTCTAAAAGGTTGTAATAGATAGTGGTGCAAACGTTGAATCCGATTGAATATGGTCCACTGCATATACTGCAGTCTTGTGTACAGTATGTACAACCGATAACAGGACACACTGCAACATAAACAATGTGAAATGAAAGATAGTAAAGCAACTTGCATGCCTTTACAGTCATTTATTTTTCATTCGGTATGGGTGCATATCCATATGCGGATGTGTTTTTTGTGCATCTTTGCAAGGTGGCATGCAGTAAGTGTGTGTGTGTGTGTGTGTGTGTGTGTGTGTGTGTGTGTGTGTGTGTGTGCTTTACAGTATTCATATGAGCCAAGTGAACAGTGACATTGATTAAATCACATTGAAACATAACAAGAACAGAAAGATAACAGGCATCAAACCACAGCATCTAGATTCTCCATAAATACAATTCAGAGGTTCATGTCAGCAGGTGAAAAGACATAATGGACGATGTCCTAATACAAAGTAGAAACATCAATTAGATTTTAAAAGCATCAGTCATACAGCATGAAAGCATTTACCCAGCCAGAGGGAAATGCTATTAACAGATGTCCAGCAGAGCCCGAAACATGTTTGATTAGGATGCCTTGTTAAGACTACCAATGAAATCATAATATGAGTGCAACAGAAAACCATGTGGCTTTATATTACCCCAGAATTAAATGACAGTTTATGAGACAATTTATTTTCATTTGTTGTGTTTACATGGGTAAATTACATTGAATGTGAATGTAAAAAACAATTCATATTTCTGCTCCACTGCAGCCACACTGTGAAGTGTCACAGGGGTAAAAAAAAACAAAAAACAACAAAAAAAAAATTGAAATGGCAAAATTATAGGAACAGTTTAAATACATACAGTAATGTATATAATAGTTCATTTAAGTTTAAGTTAATAATTACACACAGACTTTCACAAAGATAGCTTACTTTTCAGTGCTCAGACCATCCCACCCCTGCTTCCACCTTCAGGAATCCCGCCCCAACCCTTAATTCTCAGTTCATAAAGTTGCAGCTTGATTCACATGCAAAACCAGGTCCACATCAGGTGAAGACGCAGCTAACTGCACTTGCTTTATGACTTCAAATCCTGCTTCTTCTTCTGGAATTTCCTAAACTGCGACTGGATGGCCACGGCAGCCTTCTGCGTCTCAGGGTCATCCATATCAATGTCAAAGTCTTGAGGGAGGTGTTTCTGTTCATCTGGGGAAATGAGAAAGAAAACAATGAGTAAAGGGCAGGACTAATGTGTCGCTGTAGCTTTGTGGCTCTACAGGAAAGAAATTACACTTTCCTTGTTCACACTATTTATACAAAAATTTCAAACAATTTAATACTCCAGTATTCACATTTTCAGCTGTAATGCAGACATTCTTCAAAGTGTCTATTTTAGCAGTCTGATCATTTCATACCAATATTTTAGCCGAGCTACTGGCATGGTTCTAAAGATGGCAAAATCGTTCTGTCTGTCAGTTGGATGTCCATCTGAATTACTATAAATCTGATATTGATAATCTGCTGACTTTTCATTTAGCAGCACTAGAAAGTCACATTTGTTATGTATACAGAGAAATATTGCAACATCTACAGGGTGGACCAGCACAAAACTTTGTGCAGGCATCAGTGTTTCCCAGAAGATGTAGTCGACTGATGCTGGTGATCCCCTTGAATTTTTGTCTATTATTACCATCTTATTGGATTTGTTGGCTCTGTCTTTGGTGGATTACCATGAAGTTTGCTAAAGACATTTTTAAACCACTAGAAGATTAAGTGTAATAATACTTCAGTATAACTTTAACTAACTCCCTTTTTGGAGCATTTATCAGGTGAAAATTTCAGCATGACAAATACTTTGGTTAAATATCAGCAAAACAAATAACATTCCCATCTGCATCGGCTTTACATTTTGTGGTAATTAGCAAAATTATGCAAATAAATACATCTAAAATAGAGAATATAAAAATGGTATACCACCTAAACATCAGCATATTAGCATGCCCATGTTGGCTTTTAGCCTAAAGCACCACTGTACCTGCTGCGGTCACATGATTTGGATGGAGAAAAGGAACAGTTTTCCATGTTAACCACAGGCGATTTCAGGCACTTCCCTATAGTTGTAAATGTGACTTAGATGTGGGCATGAAACACTTTCTACAAGTCAGAAACTTGTAATGACAACAGCAATGTGACATTAGTACTGCCTGACAGAGCTAACATGGCAGTGGGCTCTTAGTCCTACTCTAGTAATAAAGGCTACATGTAGCTAATATATTTGTGCTTAGCTTTCTTTTTCATGTAAATAAGTTACAAATATAATATATTTTCTGTTTCATTTTCATTCTTGTTAGTGAGGAAAAGCCATTTTATTTGTCACTACCACTCAGGATACCCTCAGTGTCACCTGTTCAAAGAGAGGTTAATCTCTGGCAGGGGAGGCCAACAAACAAATATTTTACATAAAAATACTTGAACAAATAAATCAGAAACTATGAAAAGAAATATATATCCTTGTTATTGTCTGTCTATCTTTATTGCTATTTATACTGTATGCTACCCACTAAACATAATTCATCCTTTATCCTGTATGAAGAGAAGAACACACAAAAACAAGTTTTTGGCTCAAAATTTTTGCAGAAGTGATTTTTGTCATTTTTGGTAGATATTATCATGCTGATTTTTGTGGTCATTTTAATAGGTTGTTTTTAATGCTTAATGTTATTAAAAGATGAGTATTTCAAATGATTCAACAGCTTTGACTGACGGCTTACTATGTTACTCATATATTCACTCGCTACTGCACAGAGAGTGGCTGCAAAATGCCAAAAATGTAGCCCCCGTATTCTTTGGTTTCTTTGGCTTTTGCTTCACTTTTGGCTTCAGTTTTGTGTAGTGGAGGGAAGATGTGTCATTCATATTTATATACTATACAGTGAATGGGTGTGACTAAAACAAAGGCAAAGATTCAAGTTGATGGGATGTGGCTTTAATTCTTATCAAAAGTCTTGTGCAAAACGAGATGCAATGAAACACATCGCTGCTAATTCACTCACTAATACCAAAAGGGCAGAGAAACATCATCCAGTGCATTGTTACGCTGACCTGCTGTGCACGGTATGTGCTCTAGCATGAATGGTGTCTTCTCCAAGTGACCTACTTACATTTAGATGGAACCTTCTGTTGACCTTGAAGTCCTTGTGACACATTTATTCATTCATTCATTCATCTTCTATACCACTCAGTCCCAAACGGGGTCATGGGGGGGCTCGAGCCAATCCCAGCGTTGTGACACATGTGTCAGTGAAAACAAATGCATATTTCATAAATGCAGAAGCCACACAAACCTGTTTGTCCTGTCCTTCTATACTATTGCACCTGCTTGATGCCCTTTTCACCACAGAGGGTGTAGGATCCAGGCACATCATACCTTCAGTAATGTGCTATGCTGCTGCATGAGTGAGTCAAATTGTTACAATATATGGGATTATTTCCACAGCAGGTTTGGAAAATGTCATATTTAAATTGGATCCTATAAGATCTAAGGCAATCTAAGACTATATACAATGACTGATGTAGGGCCAGTCTGGAGAATACAGAGTTATAAAAGGGTGAACTGTGAAGCCAATAATAACTGTAAAAACTGAACTATGATTTAGACTCTAAATGTTAACAAAAACTTGCAAAAGAACACATTTATTCCCTCCAGAAAAGGGTAAGTTACAATCCCACATAATAACATAATGCCTTTTCAGTCAACAGGTCATACAACAGTGCATAGTGTTAGATTGTCAGCTAGTTGGCAGGTGGATGGTAGACAGCAGTCTAGTATTTAAAAAAGTATTTTTGAATAAAAAGATAAAATGATGTGAAGAGGACCTTCATAATATCTATGATGAAGATGTTTGTGGAAAAATGTCTTAATTCCTCCAATTTTCCTTTACTTTATAATAAATGATTCATTCAGTTTTAGGTGTAAATTACAGATAATTTGAAATCATTGCTTTTGCCTTAGAGCAAAAACAACTAATTTCAGGTCATTATAATTTGTTAGCAGAATCCAAAACTGCACTGTCCACCCAGTAACCTTACAGAATTTAGAGGGAGAGGAAGAACTTGAAAATGCAGAATTCCCTCTCTAGAGCCAATGTTTGGTTTGTCCATTCTGGGCTACTGTAGAAACATGACAGCCTTTGTGAAAGTTGACTGCTCTCTATGTAGAAAGGTTCATTCTAAGCTAATGAAAATGAAACCATTCTTATTTTCCACTCACACCTTTATTAAATTGACTTAAGGTGCCTCAAATCCCTCTTGACAGAGCTTGAGCTGCAAGTGGAAGCCACAGAAATCCTTTTCAGCACAGGGTCTTAGCAGTGTTATCAGCCGCCCCAGATAGAGGAGAGAGGTGACACGTGGTCTCCAGGTAAAGCTTTATGTGCTGAATGGAGCTATGGAGCCATTTAGCAGTAAATGAGCTGCCAATCCCGGCCGGCAATCGGGCGAAGGCGGGGTACACCCTGGACAGGTCGCCAATCCATCGCAGGGCTAACACATAAACGAACAACCACACACACGCACGCATGCACTCCTATGAGCAATTTAGAGACACCAATCAACCTAAGCTGCATGTCTTTGGACTGTGGGAGGAGAAAAAGGAAGTATGGGCATTTTTGCTTAGACTGCTCTCCACGGGAAGAACATGCAAACTCCACACAGAAAGGGTCCCGGGGGGGCCCGAACCCAGAACCTTCTCACCGTGAGGCAACAGCGCTAACCACTGTTCCACTGTGCCACCCTCTATATAATAAGTAAAAAAGATTAATCCAGTGAGTCCTTGGTGTGTTGTATCACGTATGCTGCCATGAGACCCAATCATAATGAACTGACTGCAAGAAAGTACTTTACAGTTCCTGCTTGATGTTTTTTGTTTGTTTGTTTTTTTACTCCACTCCATTTATTTGGCAACTGTATTTAGTCACCGGATGAAGATCTGTGGCAGAGTACATTTGAGTGATTTTAATATTTTGAAGATTTGACTTTTACAAAGAATGACATTGTAGTAGAGCTACTTTTACTTAACATTTTAATGCTTCTTCCACCACTTCCATAAATCATGACCAATTAAAATCAAATTAGAATCTAAAGAACTACAGAATTAGAGTTTCCATTTGACACACACAGTACAGTATAGGTACAATACTAATATTGTGTATAAAGAGTTTGTTGCATTTCCCCATGGGGTTAGAATTTAGTTTGATGGCAGTTGTACAGTATGCTGTATTATTATCTAAAACTAGTATCGGACAGCTGTGAAATCAGATGATCAGCACTTCAATTATTCAACAACTAGGACTTCAATTGAAACAACCAGAATTATGACGAAAATGAAGCAGTGACAAAAAAGCCACAGTTAGTGAAAGCTATGTTTATATGTTATGTTAATAAGTACCATAATACTGTCTATGTACCATTCATCCGTCCATTTTCCTCCGCTTATCCGGAGTCGCGGGGACAGCAGTCTAAGCAAAGATGCCCAGACTTCCTCTCTCCAGACACTTCCTCCAGCTCCTCCGGGGGGATGCCGTCGCG